ATCAACTGGCTGAGCCTGAGCCCCGACGGGCAGCGCCTGCTGACGGGCAGCGAGGACGGCACGGCGCGGCTCTGGAGCACTGCCGACAGCCAGTGCCGCGGCCACTTGCGAGGTACAACCTTCTCGCCGGGCGGTTAGAGCGTGGCACAGGCCACACAGCTCTGCTCTCTCCCCGTCTCTGCAGCCCGATGGGCAGCCAAACTCCTGCTTCCTTTGTTTTGTGTTTGTCTTGGGTATTTGTTACAGTAATGTTAAGCAGAAAGTGTTGCAACCCCAAAACAGGTTACCAGTGCTACTGGATGTACAGATCCTTTTATCTCAGCGTGTCGTTTAACTCTTGCCTCTTTCTGAATGCTCTGCTTTACACCCTCTTGAAATACTGACTTCTTACTGTCTCTCTCTTTTTTCTTTTTCTTTCTTTCTTTTTCTTTCTTTCTTTTTTTTTTTTTTTTTTTTGGTCCTTTTAATCATCTCATTTTCCAGACAGTCTTTATTTAGAACTTCTTGACCCAGAAGTCTGGAAAGAAACCTTATTAAATAGGTTTTTTCACATCCCCCAATGCCCCCTCCCCTCTATTTGACAGATAGAAATGTAAATTACTGGTCTTCTTCAATTTAAATTGATTTTGCATCTTAAACAAAATTTATTGTCCTTACACTAGCACGTGTCAATAATTAAAAAACAAATAAAAACTCTATAGAGAGTACAGTCACGCAGGAATCAGATATGGACTGAAGATATTTGTAATCTCATTCACTCATGTTCTTTTAACACAGAAAATAAAAGGCTGTTAAATTTGGAATTTCTAATTGCTTTTATTGTTCCAAAGAAGAAATCACATTGCTGTGATTTTCTTGTTTGTTTGCTTGCTTGCTTGTTTTTCACTGTGGAGTATTGTCTTTTTTTCCCACATCCTGCCATGGTTCTAGCTTCTGGAAAACTCGCTGCATTTGCTTTAGGCTTAGAAATCCCTTTAAATGACCAACTTTTAACTAGAAAGAAAAATGTATTGGATGATATTCATTATTATGGAATCTGGTCTTTGTATTGCCAGTGTTTGGGGTAAACTCTAAAGTTGACTGGATGGTTTGCAAACTGTCAATCGAATCAGATAATTGTATGTATTCTATATTTGTGCACACACAGAGTTGTTGTGTGAATTTGCATTTTACAAGCTGTAATTACTGATAAATCCCTATCTATAACACAGTTTCAAGCTCCACCACAGCACAACCAACAGACTTGTGTGGTGGCTGCTTTTGGCCAGACCAGCACCAGACCTAGTTTGCCACAGGGGTTTTGGCATCCTCTGTGTGGCTTGCGTATTACTGATGGTTAAAATCTGACTGACAGACTTTGGTGCAATAACCAAGATGCTTTTTTGATCTCAGAGCAGGATTACATGATGCTGTGAGAAAAATCCCAGTGCCTGAAACATGTCCCATTTAAGCTGCTTAGCAAAAAAGTTTCACAAAAATGGGAGAATGAGTACAGTTTTGCTTAGAGCTCTGGTGATCTGTGTAATTTTTGACATCCTGATGAATTTGCTTTAGAGGAAGCAAGCCATATGTTTGTAACGTGGATTCTGGTTTGCTTTTGAACTACAGCAAGGCTTGTGAACTGCAGGAGTTGTAGTGAAATCTGTTTTTTTGCAGTTGGTGGAGCAGTGTTTTACTGGGCAGTCTGCTTTCCCTCAGTTTTTTTTCCATCTCTGTATTTTACAGCATGATTCTATTTTTCTAATGCCTCTTTCAGTCTGTCTCTCTTGAATCACTTTTGTCCTTAGATTTTTTTCTCTTTTCTCTTCAAAGAATACTGTTATTTATATCACAATGGGCCCACCAGCTTCAACCATAACTATCACTCTTATGATAGTGACTTAAGAGGAAACAGCTCTGATCCTGAAAGCTTACAGTCTAAATGGTAAATTAGAAGAGTACCAGGTAATGATCAGAGAGGTGACAGCAATTTCACACACAAGATCATGGGCAAATCTGGGACTGGAATCCTAAGGTGATTTTTTAAAATACAGTACATTTGATGTTACAACAGAAAAATGACACATCTTGCTAAGCAATAACAAAAGCTTGAGGTTGTAATATTGATTCCTCTTGTCTGGCATTACCCCGTTTGTCAGCATGACATCTTTAGAGCATTGCTTGTGCCTATTTTTATTGTAACTGTAGAATCTGAAATCTTTTCAGAACTGTAATCTGAAAATTGTGTAAACAATTCTGCCCTTAGTTTTTCTTTCTGTGTCATTGCCTTTAAGGTGTACTGATATTTTGAAAGTTGTGGGGCTTATTCATGTTATTAGCTATGATGGGGAAAATATTGGCTGACTATTTACCAGATGTATTTTTTTGTTTGTGTTTCATTCTGCCTGGACATTGAAACTAAGCCTGCTGGTAAGTCTCCTGTTGCTTCCTTTTTTCAGTTTCATGCTATAATTTGTGGCTGTTTGTGTCCTGACAGTTGATGGGCCGGGTTGAAATGCAGCCTTTTTCCCCCCTGAATTCAGAAGAAGGAAGCAAAAGCATTTCTTTCAGAAAAAAAAAACCACCAGTTTTTTATTGGTTTTAAACTTATTTAGTCTAAATTTTATTGTGTTGGTATTAGTTTTGTTTATTACATTTTTATAACAGTGTTTGATTTACCTGATTGATGGTACTGTACTGTTTCACTCTTTTGCTCAATCCATGTATTGGTGAAGTTTTCTGCTGTTGCTTGAAATTGTTGTGTTTTATACAAATCCTTAAATGTGAAGAATGTGGTGCATTTAGAGTTTCAGTCTGTTGGTTTGTTTTCTTTTTCTTTCAGTTAAGATGAAGAGCTCAGCTCATCTGTCCTGCTTGCATGCCCAGTGATTGAATTCATTTCCTTTGTTATTCCTAGGACATGAAAGCTACATCACCTTTTGCCACTTGGAAAACGAGGCTGCCTTCACGTGCAGTGCAGATCATACCATTCGGAAGTGGGATGTGGTGACAGGCCAGTGCCTGGCCATCTACCGAGGACACACGTCGATTGTGAACAGGTTGGAGCTCTTGCCTTATGTTCCTGTAATCTGTTAGCACATATCTTGTCATTTTGCCACAGTCCTCCATTACTGCACTAATAAAATGGGTTGTGTAAACCTTTGAGTTCATGCTGTGCGTGTTCTGTGCTGTAATGATTAGTTTTCCTAGCAACATTGCTGACACAGCCATAGACAGGAGATAGGAGAGAAATGAAAGGCACACAGCAGGGGAATTGAATCCAGGGCTAGGAATGAAATTCCAGACGAAATTATCCAATTGATAACAGATGCTTCTGATAAATAGATTTTAAAACATCGTGTCAAGCCTTTGTGTCAGTAAGAAGGATAAAGTCAGGGCTTTTTCTGGAATTATTATTCCTGTTTGTGCAAAAACTGATTGTGTCTGACTGATTTGCCTCTTCATTTAAAGTGCTTCTTAATAGTTGGGCTGGATTTAATTAATGGCAAGCAGAGCAGTCAAAGATTGGTGTTTTTTTAACATTTCTTTTCTGGTGGGTGGGTGGGTTTTTTGTTCCTTACTAAACTCAAAACACATACGACGTGTAGTGAGATTCTGTAAATAGTTAGGAAGGCTGGCTCTGCGTTTTGGCACTGGCTTGATTTTTGCTTGAATCAGCAAATGGGAAATGTGTTCCCTATTCATATGACTTTGTTGCCTGTTTGAAAGGTTCCAGAGGACCAAACTCAGCTGACAAATAAGGCAGGTTATGGATGTTCCCTATCTCTGGTTTGGAAATATGAACTGTAGAGATTTTTTCTGTTACTATATGCTTATACAGCAACGACTCATTGTTTTGGAGGCCCAGTAAGTTGAATTCCTGAGCTGTAATCTGTGATTTGCTCTTCAGTTATGCAGTAAGCATGGTGCTCTTGCATCACCTTCTCTGAGATCCTGGGCTAAGTGAGATTAGGTGTTTGTTTTTTCCCTGCACTCTCTTAAGTAGATGATGGAAAGATGATTATCTTTGCAGACTGTCAGTTACAGTTCAGGTTCCTGAAATTTATTCTCCTTGTTGCTTCAAATCCAAGCTATTGCCATAGTCAGTTTAAAAATATTTTAAATAAATAAATACTAATAAATAATTACCAAGAATGAGGGTTTTTTAAAAAAAAAAACAAACCGTGACCAAACAAAACCAAACTATGCAACAAACTCATAACTAGTATATGTAACTTATTGCAGGTTAACTTATGATTATTATGACATAATAGTCCTGCTGGAAAAGATCTTAGAAAAACCCAAATGGCCAAAGTCCAGTGTACTTGAATAAGGGTCTCAATTGCAAAAGCAGAAACAGGGAAGTGTATGGTTTTTAAAAATGCTGAATTTGGGTTATATATGTTGCATTCATGCTACTGTTTCGTCCTTCAGGGTGCTTGGCATTGAAACTGTGACAAAGAGACGATTATGTCGATAGAATGATGCTGTTCATACACTCAAACTTGATTTTTTGCAGAATCCTGGTTGCCAAAGACTATCTCTTTAGTGGCTCCTATGACAGGACAGCCCGTTGTTGGAGTGTGGACAAGGAGAAGCAGATCCAGGAATTCCGGGGCCATCGGAACTGTGTCCTGACTCTAGCTCACTATTCCTCCAGGGATGTTCTTGAAGAAGAGGAGGAGGAAGAGGAGGAGGAGGAGAAAGTGAGCAGAGACCTGCTGGTGACAGGTAGCACTGACTGCACTGTGAAGGTCTGGTGGGTGTCCAGCGGGCGCTGCTACCAGACTCTGCTGGGACACACTGGGGCTGTCTTATGCCTTATACTTGACGCACCAAACAGGGAGCTGTTTTCTGGCAGCACGGATTACACCATTCGGACGTGGAATATTGTCACTGGAGAGCAGCTGAAAGTGTTCAAAGAGCATCAAGGATCAGTAATTTGCCTAGAGGTAAGAGCCAAGGCTTCTTCAAGAGCCTTTTGAGTCTGTATCTTAACTCATGTGGCTCTCAGTTGTCTTTCCATTTCTAAAGAAGCTCTTCCAAGACAGGTTATAAATGGTAAGCTGAAATATTCATGTAAAAATGTGCTGTCTGGTCTTGAGACAAATCCTCTTCCCCTTAGATACTTTCTGATAGCCTCTTGACTTCTAGTGGCTGTCCTGGTCTCACTTCTAGCTCAGTATCTGTTTAAATCCTCTTAGGTCTTGGAACTCATGAGTAGATTTGCTGAGAGCACTGTTCATCTGAGTAGGATTGTGTAGACAGAATCACCAGGCTTTGAAGGAAATAACCTGAGCAAGTAAACAGTCACAGGGTCAGATAACTTAAAAAGTAGAGGGGGAAATTTTCAGAGTAAACCAGATAACTTAACTTAAAATAAAGCAACCCAAAACCCAACCCAAATTTGAGGGCATAAGGTAACAGGAAAGCATAAAGCTGAAAGAAAATCTACATTAAAAACCACACAGACATAATCTGAGAAAAGAAAGGGAGAAAGGGATGGCCAAGACAAGAAAATGGGCAAGGAAAATGGAAAAGAGAAGTAGAGCATGGGGGAGAGAAATCAGGAAATGATGAAGGAGAGAGGGGAAAAAATGCATTGTGACCTGAAAAGCTATACTCTGTTTTTCTGTTTGCAGTATTTTTCTGGTGAATGCTGCCAGATTTGTTAATGTTGCAGGGGGGAGGAGGAGGTTAGGCAGATGAAGCACAAGGGGAACTTTCACATGAGCACTTATCCTGTACACTCTTTATCCACTAGAAAATGCTAATAGTATATTTAAAGAGAGTATATGATGGCCTGTAACTTAGTTTAAGGTCAACATAAATGTTTATAGATGTATGTGTCTAACTGAAGGTAATGACAGTAGTTTTTCTTGCTGCTCTCTTTGTTTGTGCTTGTTGTCCATGAGTGCTTTTCCCTTACAGAGGCTACAGGATGTATTTTTAATAGCTGTTTAATAAATGTTGCCTTTGTTTCAAAAGAAGGTAGTCAGACTAGCAGAGTGAAAACCTCAGAGTACCGACGGAATTCTGTTTTCCTTCAGTTTTAGAAAGGAAAAAATAAACCCGCATAAAATCATGTTGCCCTGGAGTAATGTTTGTCTTGCTTGGGTAAATTCTCAGTGTTAAAGCTTGTTTTTATGATATTGTGCTAATGTATTTTGAGGATGCTGAAGTAAATCTGTTGCTGTTCATACTGTCACGCTATGTTTTGTTGTTTAATTGTAGCCCTTCTCCAAGGCACAGATTGGCAACAACAGAGCTTGCTTTAATTTAATTGTGTTCTTGCTAAAATTGTTACACAAAACTGGCTTGACCCTCTCCCAGAAGCCTGGGAAATTCAATTACACTCTTTAAATGCTCAGGAATGAGCAATGCTTCTCTGCTTGTGAGCACAGAGTTAAACAATGGTTTTAAACAAACAGACCTTCTTGTAGGGGAGAAGAAACACAAAACCAATACATCTATTTGGAAAACCTGAACAATTCAGAATACACAAGACTACTGCTGCCAAGACTGTGTTGGCAACAGTCCTGGCCAAATCTTCCTCTAGCTGTGAGTAACTGGTAGCCCCTCGCTTCTCTCATCACCAGTTCATGTTTGAGGCTGGAAGAGTCCAGCTGAGGTATGTACAGCCCCCACAGAGATCATTTAGTGTCTAGGCCTCTAAAACTTATCCCAGCTTAAGCAGTCACTGTACTGCTGTTGAATAGCTTTAGGCTGTCGATCTTCCCTAATTCCTCCCTCTGCCTTACTGGGTTCAACACTATCCCTTCTGTTCCACTTGGCTGCTGCTCAGCCCAGCCCACATGGTATTTTCATTCTTTCAGAAAGGGGTCAATCACCAGAATCCATACAAAGATGTTACAACAGAAAGGAAACTTCCTGAATAGAGGTGCTTATTTTTTGTTTTCTGATTTTTGTTTTCTTCTTGACAAGCTTTCAGAGCCTTTTTTTGCTTCAGGCTCCTTAGTGACAGTGTTGCAATTTGTGGCAGTGAGTTGGGATGGTATTTTTCAAATCCTGGGCCAGGAAGGGCTTGGAGGTAGTTGTGAGTTGTCCCCAGTAGCCAGCAGACAGTTTTAATTGTTGATGGTAGGTCATTTTATTTAGGGCAGAAGTCAGCTGCTAACTGCAGCAAATTTTCACTCCCCTGTCTTGGAGAGGCTGAGTTGGTACCAGCAATTGAAGGCATTTACCTGTGCTCTGGGTGGTATAATGATTGCATGGAGGGAATACAGGGAAAGAAAAATAAAGACCTGTTTTCATTTTATTTATTCAAATAAAGATCCCTAAGGGAGGGTGACCTTTCAAAAAGTTTGAGAAATGCTTGGTGTGATCTCTCATCCTGGACACAGATCAGGAAAAATTTGGATATTGAGACCATATTTTCCCCAACTTAAAAAAAGCTGTTATTAACAGGAATG